TGTATTTTGTCAAATGCTTTTACTGCATCTGTTGAGATGATCATATGGTTCTTATCTTTAAGTCTATTGATGTGATGAATTACATTATTGATTTCTGTATGTTGAACCAACCTTGCATCCCTGGGAGGAACCACACTTGATAGTGGTGCACTATCTTTTTGATATGTTTTGTATTCAATTTTCCAGAATTTAATTGAGAATTTTTTGCATTTATGTTCATTAGTGATATTGGTCTGATGTTTTCTTTCTTTGATGTGCCTTTGGTTTTGGAATCAGGGTGATATTGGCTCATGGAAAGGGTTTGGAAGTGCTCCCTTTTTCCATTTCCTGAAATAAATTGAAGAGTATTGGTATTAGTTCTTCTTTAAAGGTCTTTTAGAGCTTGGCTGTGTATCCATCCAGTCTTGGGTTTTTCTTGGTTGGTAGTCTTCTGATGGCATCTTCTATTTCATTGCTTGAAATTGATCTGTTTAAATTGTGTAGAATATCCTGATTCAGTTTGGGAAAATCATATGACTCTAGTGATTTGTTGATGCATTTGATATTCTCTATTTTATTGGAGTATAAGTTTTCAAAATAATTTGTAATTATCTTCTATATTTCTGTAGTCTCTGTTGTGATATTTCCTTTTTCATCAAGTACATTAGTGATTTGAGTTTTCTCTCTCCTTCTCTTCATTAGCATGGCTAAGGGGCTGTCAATTTTATTTATTTTTTCAAAGAACCAATATTTTGCTTTGTCAATTTTTTCAATTGTTTCTTTTGTTTCAATTTCATTGATTTCAGCTCTGATTTTAATTATTTTTCTGTCTTCTGCTTTTGGTGTTGATTTGTTCTTCTTTTTCTAGTTTTTCAAATGTAATGTTAAGCCATTTATTTGTTGACTTTTTCTTCTTTTAAGGAATAAACTCCATGCAATGAACTTTCCTCTTAGAACTGCCTTTATAGTGTTCCAGTGATTTCAATATGTTGCATCTGTGTTCTCATTCACCTCTAAAAATTTTTTCAGCTCCTCCTTGATGTGTTCTGCAACCTATTGTTCATTCAGTAGCATATTATTTAGTCTCTAAGTGTTGAAGTAGCCTTTATTTTTATTTTTTCATTGATTTATAATTTCATTCCATTATGATATGATAGAATGTAGGGTAGTATCTCTACTTTTTTATATTTGCTAAGATTTGCTTTGTGGCATAATATATGGTCTATTTTAGAGAATTATCCATGTGCTACTGAGTAGAAAGTGTATTCACTTGTTGAAGGATGAAATATTCTAGATATGTCAGTTAAGTCTAAGTTATTGATTGTATTATTGATTTTTATAGTTTTTTTGTTCAGCTTTTCTTTGGAAAATCTATCCAGTGGTGAAAAAGATGTGTTAAAGTCACCCAAAATTATTGTGTTGTGGTCTATTTGACTTTTGAACTTGAGAAGAGTTTGCTTGATGAATGTAGATGCTCCATTGTTTGGAGCACATATATTTATAATTGTTAAGTCTGTTAGTGTATGGTTCCCTTGAGCAGTATGTAGTGTCCTTCTTTATCCCTTTTGATTAACTTTAGGTTAAAGTCTACTTTATTTAATATGAGGGTGGAGACCTCTGCTTGCTTCCACAGCCCATGTGAGTATTATGATTTTTCCCAACCTTTCACCTTCAGTCTGTGAATGTCTTTTCCTATGAGATGAGTTTTTTGGAGGAAGGCTATTGTTGGGTCTTTTTAAAAATCCAATCTGTTAGTCTATGTCTTTTGATTGGTGAGTTATGCTATTAACATTCATTATTGAAACATGATTTGTATTTCTAGACATTTTTGTTTATTTTTGGTATTGAACTTGGCTTGATTTCTCTTCTGAATAGTTTTTCCTTTAATGTAATACCTCCCTCTGCTGATTTTCATTGTTATTTTTTAATTTCTTTTTAATGGAATATTTTGCTTAGAATGTTCTGTAGTGCAGGCTTTCTAGTTGTAAATTCTTTTAACTTTTGTTTATCATGGAAGGTTTTTAGTTAATCATCAAATCTAAAACTTAGTTTTGCTGAATATAAGATTCTTGGTTGGCATCCATTTTCTTTCAGAGCTTGATATTTGTTGTTCCATGATCTCCTGGTTTTGAGGGTATGGTTGAAAATCTGCTGAAACATAAATTGGTCTTCCCCTATATGTGATCCAATTCTTCTTGCAGCTTTTAAGATTCTATCCTTCTTCTGTATGCTAGGCATTTTCATTGTAATGTGCCTTGGTGTAGATATGTTGTAATTTTGTACATTTGGTGTCCTGTAAGCCTCTTGTATTTGGTTTTCCAATTCATTCTTCATGCTTTGGAAATTTTCTGATATTATCTCATTGAAGAGATTATGCATTCCTTTGGTTTGAAACTCTGTGCTTTTCTCTAGCCCAATAACTCTTAGATTTGGTTTTTCGATACTGTCCCATAATTCTTGGATGTTCCATTCATCATTTCTTACTTTGTTCACTGTGTGGTCAACTTTATTTTCCAGATTGTATACTTTGTCTTCATTATCTGACTTTCTTTCTTCCAAGTGAGCTTGTCTGTTGGTTATGCTTTCTATTGAATTTTTTATTTGGTTTATTTTTTCCTTCATTTCAAGGATTTCTGGCTTTTTTTTTCAGAGTCTATCTATTTCTTGTAGTCATCCTTTGCTACCTGCATTTGCTCTCTTATCTCTTTGTTGGAGTGACCAATTTTTGTCTGTATTTGCTCATTTAGGTCATTTTTAAATTCACAGATCATTTTGATTATGAACCTTCTGAACTCCTTCTCTAACATTTCATCAACTTCACTGTCCATGGTTCTGTTATTATAGTATCCTGGTTTTTGTGGGGGGCACTTTCCTCCCTTGTTTTTTCATATTGTCTATGTGTCTGCCTTTCTTGCAGTGTGGATATGAGATATTACAGTTTCCACCCTATATCTTGTAGTTTCTGTGCAGATTGTCTGTACCTCACCTTGATGTTGGGCTTCCAGACCTTGCTGGTGTCCCTCAATGTATGCTACTGTAACTAAATGTGGTGGCAGCAATAGCAGAGGTAGTTCCAGATAATAGTGGAGATGCCCTGAGATGGATCCAACATCTTACAGAGATGGGGCTGAAAGGGTGGGCCTTACACTGTCTTTGGGATGCCTGCTCTGAGATGCAGCTGTTTCTAGGCCTTGTCTAATGTCAAAAGGTAGGGGCAACTGTGTGGGGAAGGCTATGACGATGTCTGCAGTGTCCCAAGATGGAAGTGGGTTAGGCTTGGGCTCCCAGGTACGGGGGAGAGGGTGGCGGACTCAGACCTACCCTGGTCCTGGGTCGCCAATATGTTGGTGTAGGCGGATCTGCGCCTGGACTATGGCAGTGGTCTGCTGATCAGAAGCTGTGGTTCTGTACCAGAGCCTGAGCTCCAGTGGGTGTCTGCCAGTGGTGGGACAGACCTGGGCCTACTCTCAAAAGGCAGCTTTTTTAACACATGGTGCTGGGAAAGCTGGTTATCCATATATAGAAAAATAAAAGTAGATTCTTATCTCTCACCCTGCACAAAAATCAACTCAAAATGGATCAAAGATCTAGGACTTAGACCAGAAACTATGTAATTCCTAGAAGAAAACGTAGGGTTAACACTCTAGCATACAGGCACAGGCAATGATTTTCTCAATAGGACCCCTGAAGCTCAGGAAATAATGCCAAGAGTTAATAAATGAGATAGAATCCAATTAAAAAGCTTTTGCACAGCAAAGGAAACAATTAAAAATGTGAAGATGGAATCTATAGAATGGGAGAAAATTTTTGCTAGCTACTTTTCTGACAGAGGATTACTATCTAAAATATATAAATAACTCAAAAAATGTACATCACAAATCAAATAACCCAATGAATAATGGACAAATGAATTAAACACACACTTCTCAAAAGAAGAAATACAAATGGCCAATAAATATATGAGAAAATGCTCAACACCATTAGCAATTAGAAAAATGCAAATCAAAACTATGCTGAGATTTTATCTCACTCCAGTCAGAATGGCAGTCATCAAGAATACAAATACTAAATGCTGGAGAGGATATAGAGGAAAAGAAACAATTTTGTGTTGTTGGTGGAATTGTAAATTAGTACAACCACTATGGAAGTCAGTATGGAGTTTTCTGAAAAGACTAGGCATGGAATCACCATAACCCAGCTATACCACTCCTCAGCCTTTAACCTGAAGAATTGAAGTCATCATTCTATAGTGATACATGCATACCCATGTTTACAGCAGCATGATTCCACAATAGACAAACTATGGAATAAGCCTAGGTATCCATCAATGGACAATGGATGAAGAAAATGTAATATATATATATGTATATATATAT